GAAGGTGTTGGTTCGTTTTTTTAAGGGGTTAAAACAAAGTCAAACTGAAAATAAAATTGTTGGCCAGACATTCTGGTCCAATTGCATTTGAAGGAATAAACATTGCTTTTCGTTTTTTTTTTCAGAAAATGTTTTGTAAGTACTGAAAGCTTCACAAGTGTTTGGTAACAAGGACTCGGAGATGAGGAGTGGTCCTTCTCTCCGCTAATGATTACAATTTTTTGCCTCCCCCAGATGGCGCTGAGCTCACCAGGGAAGACATTAAAGGGATTTATGCAGAGCTGCAGGCTATCAGTGACAAACTCAGGGTAGGGCATCAGTAACTATAATGAATTATCATTTTAGGTTTGTTTTTGTTTTTTGTAATGAGAAAAAAAAGGGTTTAGAATGCAGGCATTAGAGAATTGGCTGGTTTGCCCATTCTTCTTTAACAAAATTCTTGTTGTCGACTCTAAAAGTCTTTTTACTTTTTGTACCCTTAAGTTATTTTGAATATTGGGCCTGTATGGCATTCCATTGAAATTGCCCATGGTAGCCACGCATTGTCGAGAGAAAAGTTGTTGTCTGGTGGATGTCTTCAACAGTGTCATTTTAACTCTTTAAAAAAAAACGCAAATGGTATTTTAGTACAGGTGTTTATCTAGACAAGTAGCCATTAAAGCAGATTTGACGGTACCTACATTTTTTTACCGATCCTCCCAAATGAATCAGAGGCTGCTGTGTAATGTCTAAATGTCTACAGTGTGCTCCTTTCTTATCAGATCTTTATGTCATAACATTTCTCTTTCAACATTGTCCTAAATTTGAGGGCTAATAATGATTATGTTCCGTTATAAACAGCTACCTGTGATTTTAATATTTCTGGTGATATTAGGTTTGTTTCTCTTCTTTTTTTCTTTCAGGAAGAGAACAAAATATTGCATGAACGAGAAGTAAAGCTAAAGGAAAGGGAGAGAATGCTGACCATTTCCCAGGATAGTCTGCAAACTATTACAGACCATCAAATCAAAGTCAAAATGGCAGCTATCGAAGAGGTAACAGGCAGATATGTGCACAATCTCCCTCTCTATCTCTTTGCTTTCTTACTCCCTGTGTGGTATAGACCACCAACAATTTTTCTCTAAAAATTCATGTACAATCAATTTGATTTTCAAATGTAATGCCAAACCAAATTTCGTTTACATTCTCTTCAGGAATCTTTATTTGTCACTTATTTTCTTTTTAAGCATTTCTCTTTTAAATTAGAGGTTGGTACATTTTGACCTCACAATCTTCACCTGTCTCTTTTACATACCTTGACAAGACATGGTCGTGTCTCATCTGTTTCAGAGGCTAAAAGCGGAGTTGTCACAAATGGATCAAGCTTTGAAAGAAAAGACAAAAGAGAACAAACGGTTGAAAGAAAACTTTGAAACCATCAAACAAGCAAATGATGTCATGAAGAAAGAGGTAAAAATATATCTCCCATTTGCAGTTGGATTACAGTCGAAACTGCCATGACGGCCACCTGTATAATACCACCACATGTACAAATGGCCACTTTCCATTTCCCCCGTTGCGTTTTTTCTATATAATTTAATTGTATAAAACAGGCACCTATCCGACATGGCCTCTGCCACGCTATTTTATCAACCCACTGCCAAATTTACCTGCTTTAGTCGGACAGGCTTTGTAAAAAATTATGCATTTTCCCTTGACGCTGTGGACAGGCTGTCATAATTCATTCACCTGTCGTTATTGTCAGTCCCTTCAATGGATGAAACGGTCATGTTGCCCAGGTCGCTCCCAATTTTTACCCAAGTTGACCAGTGGGTAACACTAAATTATCAGCTTCATGTATCCAATCTTTGTAAAAATCTATATCTCCAGCTGAAGAAAATAGGGAGCATTAGAAAATATCTTTCTGTTGGTGTCACCAAAACTTTAATAACATTACTTATATTGTCAAGGATTGATTATTGCAATTCCTTACTGGCTGGTGTACCTGATGAACAGTTACAACAACTACAAAGAGTACAAAATATTGCTGCCAAAATAATTACTAAAAACTAAAGCATGATCATGTGACTCCTATTTTAAAAGCATTACACTGGCTCCCAGTGAAAGAGCGTATCATATATATATATATAAAATCTGTTTAACTTGCTACAAGTGCTTAAATGATTTATCACCGGACTATCTAAAACAGTTTTTAACACCCTATGTGCCTCCTAGAACACTCAGATCATCAAATGACAAAACAACCCTTGTTACGCCTAAAATAAATTACAAATCATATGGCCAACACTCTTTTTCATATTTTGCCCCGCTTGTTTGGAATAGGCTTCCAAAAACTATCAGAGAAGCAGAAAATCTAGAAATTTTTAAGAAGAAACTAAAAGCATTTCTATTTTCATCATATTTCGATTAGACAGAATCCATCCAAGCTGTAGATCGATGTGAGTTTGTATGTGCGTATATGCATATGTACGTATGTGTGTATGTATGTGTGTGTGGTGCATGCGTGAGTGAATATGTGTTTGCACGAGTATGCAACACTATGTACCTTTAAAATTGATTTGTAAATCCATAATATGTATCATGTTAAGGGCATAGAGCATTGCATAAGTGGATATGCGCTATATAAATGCAATCCATTATTATTATTATTAAGTGTGTGATCCGTCATAACCTATATAAGCTCCTCCCACAACTCAGTCATTAAACCCAGTCCATAACAATGGAGGTCACTGAGTGGTGCCCACCCATTTGTTTGTTTTACTCTGGCATTTGGCCTTCCTTGTCTGCCACATTTCATTTTGTTTTGACCTTTCACAAAACCATAGTTTTTTTTTAAAAAGATAAATAAAACTAACAACAAAAAGTCCCACAAAAATCGCCATATCCTCTCCCCCCTTTCAAAATAAAAATAAAAAACAACCCGCCAAAAACCCACATTTTAATGAGAGCCCTACGGCAGTCCTAAGCCCGTGACCATCTCCAGTTGGGACCTCAGAAGTAAATGGTTTGTTTGTTTTAGTAGAGGTTTTACGGCACTCACAACTGCATACGGTCATATGAGCGCCTAGGGGTGGATGTCAACAAAGAAGTCCCTTCAGGGAATCAGACTTGCTCTGCTCACCTCTCTAGCTGCAGTGGCACAAAATCTGCTTCGACTATCAAGGCTCCCCGGAAATAGTAGGTCACAAGAGTGACAAACGTACAAAAGAAGTAGAGGAAAATGACGATAGTGAGGATTAGGAAAGAAAAAGCAGCCGTTCCCTATTGTAGTTCAGGCACAGTTATGAGCATGACATTGTTCGATCAGCTCATTTACAGCACTAGAACGAGAAATGGTCCCCCCCCTTTGGGAATGGCCTAAAGACACTTCAGTCAGTGGCACCGCCCTGGGGGGTGGTAAATGGTTTGTTTTCCTCATTTTGATCAGTCCTGTGAATGACTACCACCTGTCTTATACGGCCACTTTTCCCCTCGACAATGTATGCCCGTCTTAAACTGGTTCCACTGCATTATATTCACTGTTTGGGGGCTCTCGTAGCATAGAGGTTAAGGTGTTTGCCTCTCATTCAAAGGTTCCAGGTTCGAATCCGGGTAGCAACGGAAAAACGTTCTTCTCTAAAATTGCCTCCTTTCACCTTCTTTCCATCTCTATTGCAATATTCTGTCGTCTGTTTTCGTCTCCACTATCTTCCCCCACCCTCTCACCTCCTTTGCCTCCTCCACTGAGCTCCTGACTCTTTCTGCAGCCTTTCTACTGCTACTCCTTGGCCCTTACTCCTGTCTTTCAGCCACTCCTGATCTTCTGGTAGGAAAGATCTACAACTAGCCTTCTCGGACAAGGGCGAAAATCCTCGGAGGATCCGTGTGCAATTTGCGCATGTTAAAGATCCCTTGGTGGTCCAAAATCGATAAGAGTAGGCTCCGGCCACCACCCGGTGTGTCCTGCGCACTCGTATGACCTTATGCAGTTGCGAGCGCCGTAAAACATTTACCACAAAACAAACAAAAAAATCACTGTTTTATCAAGTTTGTGTTAATATAATATGTGAAACGTTTTTTTGTAATTTATGGTGAATTTAGTTACCTTTGTTTTATTTATTTTACTGTTTCTGCCGGTTTAAATACATTCAATTGTAGATGAGATTTATAGATACTGTCTCAAAGTCTTTTGTGCATGTGGACATAGTGTTGAAAAATCTTACAGCTGAACATTTAATTGTAAACTATTTACTGTTTTGGGTTCTGATATTGAAAAGTTTGTAATTTGTAATGAAGTCTTGATGCTTCTTTTTTCAATTTGATTTGAGCTTACTGGGATCACAGTGGAAGATCTTTTCTCCCAGTTGCCTGTTGTTGTTTTGTTTTGTTTGTTTAGATGTTTGATGACCGAAGGTCTCACTTCAATTTTCCACTCTCCAACATTTATTTTGTTTGTATCTGGTACAAGATGCAAGTTCTCCAAGCTCAGAATGAGAAGCTGACAAAGACATCAAGCAGCATGCAAGCTCGGCTGGCCAATCTGCAGGTACAGTTTTTCATGACTATATATACTATATGTGGCATTCTCCATTTGGCAACCACTTTTGTAGCGTGGCCATTGGCCCCCTGGCTTTGACAGAACAGGAAAAATAACCCAGCATTAGTCTACACCAATCCACCATAGTCTGCCACTTGTTTAGATATGAAATCTGAATTAATTGAATGAGAATCGATGTATCTGTTTTATTACTTCAAAAGGGAAATGTTTTTGTTTGTGCTATCTTTATTTTAAAAGGAAAGAATTGTTTTTGAAAGCCAAATAGTACCAGTTAAAAAGATAAAAATGTCTTTCTATATATAATCTAGTTGCCTCTCGCAAACCTGGAAGAAAATAAACATGAACTTGAACTCATTCGTTTTGACAGTTTAAGAAACCGTTGTCCCTTATAAACGGCAATTTTTTATTTTTTTTGCTAATGTTGATGTTTTACACTCCCATTGACACAATTTAGATCATTTCTAACCACTAAAACACATTCATCCAGCATTTCCACAAAATTGGCTTTTTTAAATGTAGGAATTGCTTCCAACGTTAGCAATGGAAGTATAGATCTACCAATAATGGACGAGACTTGGAGGATTCAGACATAGGGTACTTGATTTGGGAGTTTGAGGTCGCTCCCCCTGAGGCGAGGGGATAAAATATTCTGTGTAAATTGTGCCCTCTCGACTTGGGTTCGAGGATACTGCGTCAGAATCTCTCCAAGCTCAATTGGACTCGAAAAGAATGCTCGGGGCAAAGGATCAGGGAATGCTGCAATTTTAAAGATCATAATCAGCCAACTTGCTATTTACAACCCGCTTACAAATACCCCCAACATACCTGCCACTATACTGTCTTCCCACTTACCTCCTCTCTACACTTGTCTTGGCCCGATAGAATAGGCTAACACTAACGATGTCACCTTAGCAGAGACTGAGCCCACCATTTCGGAACGTCATGGTGACCGTAAAGATGGTTCCAGTAGGGAACGGGATAGAGGGTGCCCACGTCCCTCATGACTCATTGGAGCAGAGGAAGATAGGACTAACGCTAACATTACTTAAACGCAATCCCTCATCATCACTCATCACCACTATTAATTCTAAAATCATCACCTCTCTCAGATCAATGACTTACATCTATAATCCTGGAATCTCTGTCCGCTTTTACAGTTAATTGATATACCAAATATACATGTAATACACTATTGGACACAATCATATGCACTTTTTTCTACTAATCAGATGGCGTCAATCTCATATAAATGGGCAAGGGGGGAAAAAAAATATAATAATTTAAACGGCAAGCTTCCAGCCATGTCTGTCAGGACCAACCTAGCCTGAGAAGGATGCGGCATCCCAGCAGAGACACGGAGATACTTGAAAAAGTTTCTCCCAACTCTGGAATGGAACTCTGGTCTCCAACATACAACATCAAAGCGTGTACTAATGGCTACACCACGATGTCAATGATAACAAATGGTATTCTATACACCTTTGCTGTCTTTGTTTTTTTCTGTGAGGGGGATTATTCTACATCTGTGTTGTGACTTTTTCCTTCATCCAGCGCAAGTTGGAGTACGAGCAGAAGCTGAAAGACGCGGATGTGATGAAGCTGCAGGAGGAGATCAAGGGAGAGCAGCCAGTGAAAGATGTTGAGAAAGTGGAGGAGAAAGCAGCAAAAGCAGCGAAGACAAACAGGGTAAGGACAGAGCTCTTCTATTGCTTGCCATCTGTCAGTGCCTCTGTGTTTGTACAACATTTTCGATTTACTGCTAATGAATTACCCTCCCCATCAACGCAATGTGGATACTGTGGAAGGAAGGCTGCTTTGACTCTGCCTGTTCGGACCAACATACAGAATTCTCTTTTGAAGTTGAACCATTGTTGAGAACAGGAAAGCACTGTCAGAATTGTCCAAGACGTCCTCCTATTATTGAGGAGAAAAGTGATTGTCTTAGATAAATGGACATCTTGGATACTGTCCTTTTGATTTTTTTTAAATGCAAGACCGGGGGGGGGGGGATATGGGAAGTGGTTGTTTACACAAGTGATTGGACAGGTGGTCGTCAGAGCAAGTTCGACTGTATTTTGATTGGAAGTTGAGACTTTGCTGGTGTACTGGCTTCACAAATGCCACTCGTATTCACCCTTTTCTGTCTCTCTAAGTTCTCAACATATTTGTTTAGTTCACTCTGCATTGGGTACTATATTTTATTATTTATGGTAATGAGGAAAATGCTTAACTTCATTTGTCCTTGCTTTATGGCTAAGTTAAAAAGTTAGTTTGGTGCTCCTTAGTAAGATCTGGAGTAGGTAAGTTCAAAGAAAGACGCATAAAAAATAAAGAATGGTGACAGCAGTTGGGAACCGAGAGAGCCCTACCTCCCAGTCTAGTTCAGCCCCAAACATACCCTTCCCCCACTGCAACAGACGTTTCTGGGCAAAGATCAGCCTGATCAGCCTTCTCTTCACTCACCCCACCACTCCATTGATATGAAGTCAAGGTCATCTTTGCCAGTTTTAAAAAGTTATGTTATTCATTATTCTTGCGAAGGGAATGGTGTTTTCAGACGGATGTTATTTTATGTTTGTATAAAATGTGTATTGGTTCTTGTTTGTGTTTTCCCATCAGCAAGCGACTGTGCAGGTGTACTCCGCGGCTGTTTCGGCTCTGCTGGACTGGGTGTGTGAGGCCCACCTCAGACAGGCTCTGGTCGATGCCCCCACCCGACCCTCAGAGAGCTACACGACCCCGGCCTTTATACATGAGCGTGTTATTAAGGTAAGTGTGCTAGGATTCATGTGAGTGATGTTTAGTGCGCTCTTATTACAGTAAAACCCTGATAACATGAAATTTATGGGACGAGTTGACTACAGAATTTTTCGTGTTGAGCAGATTTCATGTTGATGAAAAGAATAAAAAAGGGGTGGCGTCTCCTTTCTTACCATTAAAAATATTATCGGAAAGTAAAAAAGCGGGATGTTTCCGATAAAGTAAGGACGGCTGGCTGGTTCTTAGTGTATTGCCTCCTTGTCCTACCAAGTAAAACACTATCTCACCAATTGCTGCATATAGGAAGTGGGAAAGAAAACAATGGGAGGTCTTAACCTCTTGGTCGCATATTGTAGTACGTGTAGTAACAACTGTAAGCTACTGTTAAATTTTAGAAATAAAGGAAAGGGGCAGAGTCAGCCAGGAGGAATGATGAAGTGACCCAAAATTCCTTTGCATTAACCAGATCTGCTGGTATTTTTTTTTATTGTGTTATGGGAAGTTGCAATGGGTAGCATAAAGAGGGGGGAAAAATGGGTATTTGAAATCCTTCCATCTTATCAGGAACTGTGTGTTGACCCTATTAAACCGTAACACGCAGTGGTGCATGGAAAAGTCTTTTTTTTTATCGTAAACGCCGAGACACGCATATGTGTATGATTTATCTGTCCGATTCTGTATAAGGAAACAAACTTTTCTTTGGATAAAGCTTTCTGTTACAAAAGAAAACATCCAAATGTGTTCCCTTTGAAATCAGTTGATCAGTTGTCGTGCATAACCTTGTTTTTTTATGATTGCCTGTTCAATTTTATGAACAGAAATTTTTTTTTTTTCATTCAAGGGGATATGATTTAAAAAATGGGGATTATTTCTAAAGTTATAAATGAGTCTTGCTGACATTTGGAGGAGCTTTCAAATATATAATGTGCTACAACAAAAATGAAGATAGTTCATACAGTGGAAACCTGATACAACAGAGATGGTGGGACCAGAGAAAAAGTCCTCCCTGCTAAATCAGAAATGCAAAGGAAGTAAGCATTTGTGGACTAATCCAGCTGTATTTATTCATGGATAGTTTCCCTTGCACACCGTAGCCCTCTCTTGTAGCCACGTGGCAGGCCTTAACATGACACATTACCCGTGCGTGCAGAGCAGCTAGGCTTAGGGCTAGATCGATGTCCGCAGCATACCGCAGCCCTCTCTCGTTTCACCCGCTGCGTGTGCTTGCAGTGGCGTGGCTTGCGTGGGCTTGTTTCATCACTGTGTTACTCTCTCTCTCACTCTCTCTTACCTTTTGCATATTGTTAACAAGCCTTTGTCCCTGCTATAACGATTGGGCTCCGATGAGGCCCTGTAATTGCCAATAACTTTTAATAGAGAGTAGGAAAAAAAACGGAGAGTTAAAAAATCCCAAAAAATCCCTGTTATTACCGAATTCCTGTCATTACTGAGCCTGTTATATATGGTTTCCACTGTACCTTGTCTACATCATTTGTTGAAGAGTTCTATAACTGAAAATTGGAGGGTTTTTTCTGTAACTAAGTCAGTCACTTATTACAGAAAGTCAAATTCAGACATAATCAATCCCTAGATGCATGAAAACTGTCTTTTCTAAAACCTTATTTTATTTCTTCTCAGAAAATGCTCTTTAAAATGCATCTGAAAAGGGTCACCTACATATTTTTCGAGGGACCCAAAACTACCCAGGTCTCTGGAGTCTTTTGTGGGCAGATTTGCCCAGGTCATATAGAGTTCAGTTGAATGCCTTTATTCTTTATGTTAAAGTGTCTACTGTACCTTGTTCTTTGTGTCAGAGAGAGTCTGGTGGACCCTATCAAGCTTACCTGGTGTTTGGAGAATGTAATAGACTGACAGAGACAATGATAGTAATAGTAATATGCACCATTGGCACAGTGAAAGTATAGTACTCTCTTGAAATAGAACTGTTAGACGCCCATTAAAGTTTAGATTGGCTTACTTATTGTGGTGAGCGGCTGGCCGGAGATGAAGAATCAATGTACAGACTTCAACAAAAGTAAAGGACCACATTTACAGACAGCCTTGATTTTTTTTAAAATCCACCCAAAAAAGACGGCAAGGAATGTTTCAAATTTTTTTGCTCTGAAGGTGTTAATGGGTTACTAAAGGGGCAAAACCGCCATGTGCTACACGGAAATCCTAGGGGAATTTTAGCCACATTTGTTGTTTTTTATCAACTTGTATGCGACATCAGGGACATTCCTCAATTAAAATTTCTAGTGCACATCAAAAACAGACGTACGGTCTTGAACTGTGCTCACTTTGGTGGCAATATAAGCCGCCGTTTGCTCAAAATCCAGTATCGCATCGATATGCACGAAGACGAAAGCTGGGAGACTTTGATGGTGCCAGGGCTATGTCACGTCTGAAGGATGGAGTTGGCGCCCGAGAAGTTGCCAGAGGGCTTGCAGTGTCACACTCTGTTATTGTGCGCCTGAGGCTGCGCCATCAAGCCACTGGATCCATCCAAGAGCACCCACATGCAGGTTGACCCAAGAAGACCACTCAGAGTGTTTGCAAGTGGTTGGTCCTTAACTTTTGTTGAAGTCTGTAGTAATAGATTTTAACTCTCTAATATATTGTTTTTGCATTTATTCTCCTGAAGCAATGTAATATTTCTTTTTCTTTTTGTGATCGGTGTTCCAGATCCTCCCATCTCTTGTGGATATCCTCCGAGATAACGCTGCCAATGTGCGTTGTTGTCTTCCCTGCCTACAGTTTGTCTACTGGTCTTTACTACACATTGACCAGCTACAGCAGACCCAACAGGTGACC